CTACCAAACATAAAAGATCTACCATTTGTAATGATTCTGTAATTTATTTTGAAGAGAATGACTATGATATTAGTCATGTAATTGACCCTGTAACTTTTGGTGAAACTATTAGGAGTTCATAATCTGATGTATGGATAGATGCAATGAAGGATGAACTGAATTCTATGGCTCAGAATAATGTCTACAAACTTGTTGAACTACCAAAAAAACGTAAACCCATTAGTTGTAAATTGGTGTATAAAACCAAGAAAGATTATAAGAAAAAAATTAAGAGGTTCAAAGCTAGATTGGTGGCAAAGGGATTTAATCAGAGGGATTGATTAGATTATAATGAAACCTTTTTACCATTGTCTTTCAAAGATTCTTTTACGATTGTTATGGCCTTGGTAGCACATTTTAATTTGAAGCTTCATCAAATTGATGTGAAGATAATTTTTCTTAATGATGATCTTAAAAAAGAGGTTTATAGTATAGCTTGAGAAATTTCAAGAATTTGAAAATGAGCATTTAGTATGCCAACTTAATAAGTCAAGTTATGGCCTTAAGCAAGCTTTTAAGAAATGGTATCTAAAGTTTGATAAGGTAGCTATTTCTCTGGTTTTTTTAAAAAATAAAGTTAATCAATGCATACACTTTAAAATTAGTGAGAATAAGTATATTTTTCTTGTTTTGTATGTGGATGATATCTTGCTGGCCTGTAATCATGTTGGTTTGTTGCATGAGACTAAGTAGTTTTTGTCTAAGACTTTTGACATAATAGATCTTGGGAATGCCTATTTTATTCTTAGAATTGAAAGTCATAGAGATAAGTCTCAAAATCTATTAAGACTATTGCAAAGGTCTTGCATTGATAATGTGTTTAGTAGATTTAACATGCATAACTATAAAATCGGAGACACACCCATTATGAAAGGTGATAGACTTAATCTTAGCCAGTGCCCAAAGAATAATTTGAAAAAATAATCTATAAAGAACATACCATATTCTAGTGTAGTTGGGAGTCTCGTGTATGCACATGTTTACACTAGGCCAAACATTACTTTCGCAATGGAAGTTCTTAAAGGAGATATCTTTCAAATCCTAGTATAAATGATTTAGTGTTCATCTTCAAGCACTATTTTTTAATTGTAATATTGACATTTTGGATTGTATTTTTGTTTAGAATAGAGTAACAAAATCCAAGAAAATAAGAAATCACATTGTCTATTTGTGAAATAAAAACTATGATATTTCAGAGAGATTAAATTTTCTTATTGATTGCATCATGAATTTTAAATCATATGAGAACAAAATATGATCGATTTTTACAGGGCAATTGTATTCTGCATATTAAAGGTTGGTGAGCACTAGCTAAAGATTCTATAAAGAACTTTGGTGGCTATTAGAATGGTTCTTGTACTATTCTTTATATTTTTTATCTATTCTTTATATTTTTTATCTTACTTTCCATGTCGAGATATTGTGATGATCTTATATAAAGACATTTAAAATTATATTTATGAAACATTTTTTGAATGATAAAATTATAAAATATTTGGATAAAAGCGAACAACACCTTATAAGTTGAATGTTAATCTTCATATCATTAGGTGAAAAAGTTTTAATTTAATATTGTTTTGGGCAAGAAGAATTCTCCACATTAGCCCTTTGATAGTCATTTGAGCCTGAGTTATACTTTTCCCTACCAGACTTAAATCCTTTGTTTTTTTTTCTTTTCTTTTCTTTTTTTTAAGAGAACAGAGATTGTTTTTCAATAAGAAGCAGAAAAAGCTATTTTCTTCATATTAAAAGAAGTTATTGAATCTCGGATCCATATCCTTTATAAGATGCATTGTTTTATAGTAGCTTTGTGATAATCGGTTTTTTAATCTATTAATTGTGTTTTTTTTACCTTTTCATTTTTTTTATTTTAAAAATAATATTTATTAATTAATTGTATATCTTTAGCTTTCTTTATTTTTTTTTATTTCTTCAGTTTTAAAATTAATGTTTATCTTTTAATTATGATCATTGGTTGTGTCTTTTGGGTTTTATTATCTCTTGATTTTTTGCACTATTAAAGATAATATTTATTTAAAATTAGATTAATTGTGATCATTTATTGTGTTTCTTGGGTTTTATTTGCCTTTTGATTTTTTTTTTATTTTAATAAAAATAATATATATTTATTAATTGTGATAATTGATTGTGTTTTTTTTTTATCTTTTAATTTACACAATTTTAATGAGATATATTAAATTAATTATGTATTACTTTCTTTACCTTTTGGCTCATACAACTCTCACCTTTAAAAGAGGTAAAAAACCATAAATTACAAGAAAATCAAAAGTAAAAAATATAAATGTTATAAAATGAAAGGTTTGATCAATAAATTTTAACAAATAATAGTTTTTAATAAAATGAATACAAGAAAATCAAAAGTCAATAATCAAAATAATATAACAAACAATAATTGAAATAAAAATATATAATAGAGACATGAAAGACGCTCGTATAACTTTTACTTTTAAAACAGATAGAAGATTATAACTCATAAGAAAATTAAAAGTAAAAAATGTAAATGCTACAAAACTAAAGGGTTAATCAATACATTTTAAAAGTATTGGTTTTAAAAAACAGAATACAAGAAAATTAAAAGTTACTAATCTAAATAAATATTAGACAATCAAAAGTTTATTGTGTTTTATGTAATAAAATTAATATGTATAAATTTATAATTTATGTTAAAAAAAACTTAGCATTTATTACAAAAATTTGAGTTATATATATATATATATATTTTAAATTCACTTATTACTCCCATCAATCTCTTTTCCTTTATGAATAGTTGAATCCTTATGTGATTATAAACGTTTAACTTTTCTCCAAATAGATTAATTATTTAATGCTTTATTATTCCTAAATTAAACATTATTGTTGTATTTGATTTTTATCTATTTTGTGACTATTGTGATTCTTATATTATTTTCCCTATTTCTTGATCTATTGTCATTGATCCATAAAACATTTATTCATATATTATCTTAGAATCTACAAAATTATCCATTCATAATTCATCAAATTTATAAACGAATTTATAAATTTATTTTATTTATTATTACAAATTCATAAATTGATTCTTTTTGTCATTTTATTTCGTTTTTCTTTAAATTGATTTGTGAAATGTTTATGCATATGCCATCTTAGAATCTATAAAATTATGCATTTATGATTCATCAAATTTATAATAAATTCGTAAATTTATTTTGTTTGTTATTACAAATTCATGAATTAATACTATTTGTTATTTTATTTCTTTTTTTAATAACATTTTTTGACAATTTTTCATAAAAATCACATTTTAGAGACTTTTTAAAGGATTTAATCACACATACATATAAATTATTCAAATTCCAATGTGTGTGTACCTTAAGGGTTCTATTCCAAAATTGTTTCCAATGGAATTAACCAAAATTGAAGGCTAATTGTGCTTTCAAAATAGATGGAAATGCTTTGTTAATATCCATGCTCTCAAACCTCAAGATTTATTAAATTTCAAATATAGTGAGGATATGATTTTTGAGGTTTTGCTCTCTGCCTAGCCAAGTACATTTATAACTTTAAATGAATTGCTGATAAATTAATTAGATGACTGTTTTATATATTTATATTATGTATATTTTCTCTATTACAGTGAAACAAAATCAAATGAATGATGCAAACTCTTCTTCAGTTAATCAACCAAATTCTATTGAAATCATTGATGTTGAAGTTTCGAACAACAAATCAAATAACCAATGTCAAGCTTATGACCATGAGACATTTGGAAATGATGAATACGTTGATGATGATATTCTAATGTTTTACTGCTTAATGAATGAGACAAATGTTGAAACATTTTACATATTAGTAATAAATCACATATACACTCTTTTATATATCGTTATATCATTTTCATCATTAGCAATTTTAAACTTACTATACATCAACATATTTATGGTTAACACCTTATAAATAATTATGCCTCAATACTTTTCATCAAATAGTTTTTCTTATGGATTTCACTGATGACTTTTGAAATAATTTTCTTATAACAAGAAGTTTCATCCGAATACCATGGCTATTTGCCAAACTACATTGTATCTATCGCTATATTTATTCTTTCATCAAATAAGATTTGGATTGTGTAATGCAAATGTAGCAATTGAACCAAAGTATTTATAGCAGGATAAAAGAAAATTTTCTATGTCAATATCTTAAAATCCGACGATCTTCATCTTTTTTAAATTATCATTTATCGTAATTATAAATGAACACCTATAATTAGGGATGTAAATGATACATTAGTATTCGTAAATTATTCGGGTTCGATTCGAAAAAAATTCGAATTCAGTTCGATTATTGTCGAGTCGAGCTCGAGTAATTCGACTTATCGATCGAGCCGAATTCGAGTATTTTTATATTTGACTCGAGTAGCTCGCGAGCCTAATCGAGCTTTTATATTTAAATATATTTTTATTATTTTAATTAATAAAATATTTCGAGTCCGAGTTCGAGTTTAAGTTCGAGTATGAATAATCAAACTCTTGTCGAGTATACGAATTATTCTTATTTTTACATATTAATCGAACGAGTTCGAATAGCTCGAATTCGATCACGAATCGAGCTCGAGCTTAAAAAATAAAACTCGATCGAGCTCGAACCGAATATCAAACCCCGAATTATGAGTCGAACTCGAACTCGAACTCAAGCTCGAACTTCTCATTATTCGTTTACAGCCCTACCTATAACAACTTAAATTAGTAAACACTTGATTTGATTTTTTTTCTACTTTTATGGTCGTTAATCAATTTTATACTTTTATTATATATTATTATCTTGTTTTTAATTCATGAACAGATATTATTATCTTTTTATCCCCTTTTTATGAGATAAAAATTCATTTTTTAACTAAAAATCAACCCACGGCAAAGCACGGATAAGCCTAATTTTAGCGTAGAACTTCAAAAAGGCCAAAAAAAAAAAAAAAATCATTAAAATAACTTGCTACCGCCCTTAAAAAAAAAAAGTCCATAATCTCCGTCCTGCCGGGTCATCACTCTAAAAATGCTATCAACAATTCAACCCCCGCGTTGTCTTTCTCGCATTGCAGTCCGCGGCCGTACCAAATCCCGCTCTCTCCACATCCTCTCTTCCGCTCAATCCGTCACCTCAGCCTCCCTCATAGACCATTCACAAATCCTGTCCATCCGTGACTCCCTCCTCTCTCGCCACCTCAGCGCAGTCCAACTGACCCATTCCTACCTGGACCGCCTCAAACAGACGGAACCCCAAATCAAGTCTTTCCTCCACGTCTCCGACCCGGACAAGGTTCTGAAACAGGCGCACGAGATTGATGAGAAGATAAAGAGGAATGAGGAAGTGGGTCCCCTTGCTGGGGTCCTTGTGGCTGTCAAGGACAACATTTGTACGGCTGATATGCCTTCCACCGGTGGCTCCCGCATCCTGGAGGGGTACCGTCCACCGTTCGATGCCACAGCCGTGAAGAGGTTGAAGAACTTGGGTGCCATTGTGGTTGGGAAGACCAACTTAGATGAGTTTGGCATGGGGAGTACTACTGAAGCTTCGGCTTTTAAGGTTTGGTTAAAATCTCACTGCTACCTCAATCTCATCCTTGGTTCACTTACTTCAGGTGATAGTTAGAGATACATCTATTGGTTCATTAGGTGACAGCAAACCCGTGGGACCTCTCTCGGGTGCCAGGAGGATCATCCGGAGGCTCGGCTGCAGCTGTTTCTGCTAGGCAGTGTGTTGTATCACTTGGGAGTGACACTGGTGGAAGCGTGCGGCAGCCAGCATCATTTTGCGGTGTAGTTGGTTTGAAGCCAACTTATGGACGGGTCTCAAGATTTGGGCTTATGGCATATGCATCATCCCTTGATGTTATTGGGTGTTTAGGTTCATCGGTTGCTGACACCGGGATTCTTCTTCATGCAATTTCTGGTCACGATACACTTGATGCCACTAGCAGTAAACGTGTTAAGTGCTCTTTGAATTTTAAACCTCACTGGTCTTTTTCTAGGTGCCAATAATTATCTCTTATGCTTCGCTGCAAAAGAATATCTTGTTAAGTTTAACCATCTAATTTCTTTTTTTGAAGATTCTGAAAGTGATGTACATATTCAGGAACTAACTTGTCATACATATGTTATTCATTTGTCGAGATGTTTAGGAATTAGTCTAGCTCAGTACTACCATCTATGGTTTAAGCAGTTGCGTCCTTTATCAACTCTAATGCACCATTTGACTGTACTTGCTGAAGCAAAAGTACTTATGATGTTATTAAAAGATTAATGTGACCAATTTTGGATGAGATAAGGTTATTTATTTGTTTGATTTTTCTGTTTACCTTTTTTGCTACATATTCTCCTAAACCCTGATCTAAGGGCTTAAGTTTTCTCTTCAACTTATTGGTTATTTTTTCTTCCTAATTCTTCACTTACATCCTATATTTTCTCTACCCCTCATCTTTTAGTCACATCAATGGTGATACTATGCATTAGAATCTCAGACTTTGAATTCTGCTACTGCTCCTTTGGTGCTATCCGCTCTATTTTTAGTTGAACACATGTGAGCATTATTATTTGTTGGCTTATTGCTAAAAATTTTTGTTCTAATTGTGTAAGAATTTTGCATTTCAGGAAGTGCCTGATTTCACTTCTCAATTCACTTCTGCAAGTTCTTTGGAATCCAGACCATTGGAAGGGCTAAGGGTTGGTCTTATCCGTGAAACTGTTGATGGTGGTGTTGATTCTGGAGTTAAATCAGCAATACAGAGTGCTGCAGCTCATTTGGAACAATTAGGATGTATTTTGAAAGAGGTTTAATTTAAAACTTCGATGTGTTTTTTTGCTGAATCCCATGAATGTTTGTTTTATGTATTCATTTGAGTTTTCTTTTGAGATTATTGCAGGTGTCATTGCCATCCTTCTCTCTTGGTTTACCAGCTTACTATATTCTTGCATCATCAGAATCATCTTCAAACTTATCGCGATACGATGGTGTCAGGTGATATGCTAGAATGTTTTTTCATTTTGAACCTTGTGTTATGTAGATATATAAAAGCTAGTTTATAATTAATAACCATTTATTTTTACTTTATCTGTACATATTTGAAAGAGCGAGGTCAGAGAGGGGGGAGGGATGAGTGAAGAGGGAGATTCAGGAAGCAGCATCTAAATTTGAGAATGCAGCCTTCAAAATGTATTTTTAAGAAGACATGATAAAAGTTTCTTATACTATGGTTCCTGGTTCCATGATTTTTAACAAATCCAGGTATGGAAGCCAAGCTTCTTCTGATGAGCTAAATTCACTTTACAAAGAATCCAGAGCTAAAGGATTTGGGCCAGAGGTCTGTCTCTGAATTAATTGTTGAGAAACTTGGCATGATGTTATATTAGATTTGTAACAATCTGGAATCTTGAAATGAATTTCATTTTTGCAGGTGAAAATGAGAATATTAATGGGAACTTATGCACTTTCAGCTGGCTATTATGATGCATATTACAAGCGTGCCCAACAGGTATCATTCCTATTGCAGTAAATACTTCCCTATGTTGAATGTCTTATGGGTCCTAACCTGAGGAAGATGGATAACTGGCTGGGAATAGCCCTATATTTGCATTCTCATAGAGTCTAATGTGTCACCTTAAATTCAATTTTCTAGCTGCTAAAATTCTTAATAGCTGTTGCAGATGCATGAAACCTCTTTTTGATTTTTAAATTAATTTATTGGATTAAGTAATTATGTGCTCATGACAATTAAAGTAGTGATATTTTAAATCACAAAGTTAATTTATACTTTCTAACAAACTCTTGGTTTTTCATTGGTATTCCCAAGTAAGATATTTTTTGGTCCTGCAATTTATTTATAAAGGTTAATTACATATATGGTACTCAGCTATGGTAAAATGTTCTATTTGGTACCTTAAGTCTAAAATTAGCTGTATGTTACTCAAGCTTTGTTTCTGTTTACCAGATTACACATTCTACTAATTGAGTTTGAGAAAGTGTGATGTGTCCACAACATTCCACCCCACTTGATGACATGGTGATGCTACACACTTTTTCTGCTAATGGAGTTAGTAATATTTCCAATTTGGTAAACGGAAGAAAAATTTGAGCACCACATTGCACACTTTTAATTTTAGTTACCAAATTAAACATTTGATATAGTACTGGTACCAAATATGTAATTAACCATATTTATGGACTAAGTTCGTCTTTTAAGTTGTTATATACTAAAACCCATTATATTTAGGAGCTTTTGCTATTAAAGGAGACATTTGTGTTTATAATAATGTTTTAGGTGAGGACCATAATTCGGAAAAGCTTCAAGGCTGCATTGGATGAAAATGACATCCTAATTTCTCCTGCAGCTCCTTCTGCTGCATATAAGATTGGTATGCTAATTGTATTGTCCTTATTCTTTTTCTTATTTTACTTGTTTGTGTAATCTCCTTTTTGTTCCTTCTTTGTGCATGTGAGGGGGAGGGAATGGTGGTGTTATGACTTTTGTATTGGGGGTCTTCATTTGCTGTAAACAATGAATTACTAAGTTGCTTGTGATGTTTGCAGGTGAGAAGAAGAATGATCCATTGGCGATGTATGCAGGAGATATCATGACTGTAAGCACCTTTTAGTCTGCTTCAATTATATTTTATTTAAGTCATTCCTTCCCCGGATAAGGCTTTGACTTCCCATCATGAATGTTTGGTTGGTTAAGAAGTAAGAATCAGGAGAGAGAGAAAAAACCATTAGGGCATATGGGGAGGATATTTAAATTAAAGATATGGCTTTCCACATGTTAAGATTATGGAAGCGATTCTAGGTTATTAACACTGACCTTAAATATGCTTTGGCTTCACTTATTGATTCTCTATCACTTTTTTTTTTTTTTATGCGAGTAATTTTATGTCACTTCTTTAAAGATAAAAGAGGAGTAGAAATAGTATATTTGATTTAAGGATGCATGAAAAATGAGAACTAAGGTTAGCCCATTTTCCTATTATCAGAAATTGTTGCATGTATGTGCATCTGTTAACTGATTAAAAGCATAGTTTATTATTGTATACTATAATAAAGTTTATTATCTCGAATACTCAATTACAGGTCAATGTTAACATGGCGGGCTTACCTGCATTGGTTTTGCCATGTGGATTTGTTGAAGGGGGGGCTGTGGGGCTTCCTGTTGGCCTTCAAATTATTGGTGCAGCATTTGATGAGGTATGCAGCTGCCCCTTTTTTATAAACTTATTAATTATTTTTACTTTCGAAAATTTTCCCTATATTAGTTGAAAATAAAGAAGATTCAGGAAGGATCCAACACTGCATTTGGTTGGTGGGAAAGAGGAAGGCAAGGCGGTGGAAGGAAAATGGTTTTTCCCTCAGCTTTTTCCTCTGTGCTGGAAGAGGGAAATAAGAAGAGTGATAAAAAATAGGTGGATTTGTACCTTTCATTTGCCTCAAAATTTAATCCTTTCACCATAACAAGTGAAGGAAAAGTTCTCGTTCAACTTAAATCAATCATTTCTTTTATGATGTTATCCTCAACTCCTCACACTTTTCATTTCTTGTACTAAACATGATGAAGGAAAGACAAATGTCCATCCTTTCCTTCCCCTTACCCTTCCCTTCATTTTTCTTCCTAGTTGCTGCCAAACTGTGTTAAGAGTGAAGGGAAAATAGGAACAAAGAGAAATAACCTCCTGATTCAGCTGATGGTATCTCTCAAGTTGGCAGCTTTTCGGTTTTGTCAAGGACCCATATTCTTGGAATGACTCGTTCTAGTCTAGACTATAGTTTGGAGACATCCAGCACGTGATGACCATTACTCAAGGAAGGGTTGTTAGAATAGTTATAGCTATGGTGAGAAAATATTCATTTTAGGAAAAAGCTTGTACAACCATCGTGTTAGAGGAGCCACAGATATACACTGACAAGCGTGCAACTTAATATATGCTTTGTTTTAATAGTTTAAAGTCTAGATCTATCATTATTTTTTCCTCCTTTCCTGTCCTAACTCAATCTGCTGATATTCAAAGTCATCATTCTTTTCTTCTTTGGTCTTATTTTTTTCAGGAAAAGTTGCTCAAAGTGGGTCATATCTTTGAGCAGACACTTCAAGGTTACAATTTTGTTCCTCCACTTGATGCAGATGGTGTTTTCGCCTAAACTTGGATGATCCATGCTTTTCTGAGGACGCTTATGGCTTGAAATACAATTGAAACCTGTAACGAGTGGATCTGCTGGTTCAGTGGGTTGTGACTTTTAACTCTGTTTTAGTGAGATATGGTTTATGGCATGTCTTGATGACTAGAGCTTTAGACCCCCAGCAGCATTGAAATACAATTTTGTTCTTCAAAAATATTGGTAAGCAGGCGTCTAAATTTGGCAGTGTCTCCATAATATTTCAATGTAGTATATTGTATGCTAACGTTTTGGGTGCATATTCATGAAAGTCAGTGTTGGATTTCATGGCCAATTCCAGTAAATTATAGAGTAGCCCTCAAATTTTATGACTCTGTTTTCATAAAATCTTTATACTTTTATTGTATTTAAATAAATTTTTAATTTTTAATTTGTATTTAAATGAATTCTTAAATTTTAATTTATATCTAAATAAGTATATAATTTTTAATTTGTACTTAAATAAATTTTCATACAAATAAATCTTTTATTTAAAATAAGAGTTTATATAAATATAAATTAAAGACAAAGGGACTTTGGGAAAGTTGAAAAGCTTTAGCTGTCTACCTTTTTCCTTGCATGGCAAACACTGAAAGATCTGAAGTAGCTGTCATGCATGTCACCCAAGTGTTTAATAGGAGGGGGTAGAAGTAGAGAAATTTTGCCTTTCATTCATGCTCTACAATTTTCTGTATTTACATTGAATGTCAATGGAATCCAATCACAGACCATCATGCCCTGCATACTTCGACTCCACTCACCCATATCAACTACTTTCACACTTGATAAATAAATTCCAATGAATTCTGTTTTTCCCTATGATATATGCAAATCAGTTATGTCACGTATATTTACAATCTTACTTCTACGACATCACCATCTTTGAGCTCTGTGCCAGGCAATACAAGTTGACCATTAACTAGAACTAGCTTTCCCTCGAGTCCTGCTCTTCTTGCAGCATCTGCAGCAGTGCTTCCAGTTCTCAATCTCATTATGTCACCATGAGGCCAACATATAATAACAACCTCCCCAAGGACAACAGAATCAGGGTTGACATTGGATTTTGCTCCACCATCTCGTCTTCCAAAACTTGATTCCGAACGTAGTTGCTCTTCCCACCGAAGCATTTTCCGCAACAAAAGCACCTGTGTAATGTTTGCATTTAGAGAAAAAGTGTTTGAATAGGTTTACTGTTGTGAAAAGTAGAAATGTGCATTCAAATGACGAGAGGATCATAGGATCACTGAAGTAGCAAAGCAGGATGGTTGGAGTAACTGAAATCTCTAACTTAATAGTTGGATACATGCCATCCAGATTGATAGTCTTAGGCTCAAGTCCAAGAAAAAAGAGAGAAATAAATATAGGATCAGAGGAAAAAAGTTTATAAAATTGTTTAAATGTTTAATAATTTTTTAGAGCAAAGTTTCATAGATACAAGAAACAAGGAAAAGCAGCTCTCTGCATATTGCATGTTAGGAAAGTTACACTCCTACAACCCAACATGTCTTGCATATACAAGTACCAAGAAAAAGCATGTCATAATTCCGACAGTTTTATCAAAAATTTCTTAGTCTAATCTGATATTTTTTGCATAAATAAACAGGAACGTCTCAATCTAAATAACCCTTAAATTAAAGAATTAGATTCATGCCATGTGCTAGCTAAATGGAAGTACTAACATGGTATCTTTGAGTGGAAAATACGAACAGAAGGAAGATACTTCTAATAAACCCAACTAATCACAATGCCTACTTTAGTGATAGAAATGGTAAGATTATTGCAACCAGACCTTGCGGTTGATGCTAGCTTCAATTGAATTGGAAGCAACATACTCTAGGCTGGGCCAAGATGCAACGGATTCAACTGGTTTGCCTTCAAAACAGCAGACACAACAGCCCAATATTCAGATTCTTCCTGATCTGTCAAATCAATCACTTGGATGAAGGTTGGCAAAAGGCGTTCAAATTGGTCTTGCTGCATGGAAATAATTCAAAAAGGTAAGTAAATCTGCCTATAGTTACCAACTATAATGATCAGTTAAAAATTGAACAGTCAAAACAGGAGATGCTGGAAGAATGAAAAGCACACTGATGAGCACAAGTCCTGAAAAGCTTAGTAAATACATTTACTGCTGAAAAATCTGAGATACTCACAAGATATGGGATGTGCCATTGATCTTCAGACAAATTCGAAAATGGTAGCAAAGCAGAATAGATTTTATAAATTCTTGGATTCTAAATTGCTCCATTTCTAATTTCCCTCATTTCAAAGTCTAAGAAATTTTGAAATACCTCATCCAATGACACCCTAAGCATCAGCAAAAAATTGAACACATTTAAATTCATCAATAAGTGCATGCTAAAGCCTAAATATACCTTGTGGTATATACCATCTCGACAAAGTGTATATTTCTCAAGGCAAGTACGCCAATCCCCATGTCCTGGTTCACACCACCACTCGTCCGAAACCTGGTAAGCAAATTTGATATCAGCAAAGCTAGTAGTTCTAAAGCTAACAAGAAAAATCACCCCAGTTTCGGTATTAAGACTATCAGAACATGTAAACCAATCAAAGCTCAAGGCATTTTAAAGATTTGGAGTCCTAAAGATACTGTGATGTTTATCCAGTATGAAGGGTAGCTTAATCAATACCACAACATTTTGCACATGGAAACCAGCTCTCAAACTCCATAAAGAACAAAAAAGTCCAAGCACAATACAAGTTGTGAGATTCTCCTCTAAATCATTTCAATTTTCGATTTTTAATGGCCAGCTTTTCTTTTAAATAAAGGCAGCAAATGGCAAAATTAGATTAGACCCAACATTGTATTGCAGATTTTGAGAATCCTTATTTCTCATTAGTCTCCCAGACATCCATCATTGGAACCCACACAGTGACACATGGGGCCCAACAGGTGACATATGGCTGGTGATTCAGAGTGGAGTGATTATAGCATCATCCATTGCGATGTACTAGACTGAATAATCAAGATTAGAAGCAAAGCAAAGCACCTTTTTGTATAACCTTGCATAAGCTTCCCATCGCTTTATTTGGAAAGAAGACCTTCTGTTAGCAACTGCTTCAGAAGCTGCCAACCCAAAGCTCACAGCAACAAGCAACTCTCTCCCCTCCTTATCAACTCTGTAAATGCAATTTTTTGCAGCAGTTAGTTAATGTGAAGGTTATCAGGTAGATTTTGAACATTGGCTTAGAGTTACAAACTTGATTATAACTGCAGCGAGTAAGTTACTTCCTTCCACTCTAAGGACAGGATGTCCCACTTTCAGGGAGCTATACTTTTGAAACAAATATAGTCCCAGGGAATTTTGATCATCCAGATTGTTGGGGAGATAAGATGATTCTTCTATTTCAGATTCATCCAAGGTGCTTATGGAAAGGTAATTCATTTCCTGTTTCTTTATAAAGCCAATGGGCAGCAAGTCCATGTTCAGCATATTCATGCATTCTCTGAGCAATTATTAGCATACTATTAGATAAATCAATCTCTCTCTAACTCAAGTATGAAATCATACAAAGAATGGAAGAAGTTTGGAACCTGTGTTCGAATCTGAACTTCCAAAGGTGAGGCATCAGGGCCTTGTACTGCAGTGTGCAGAGACTGCAATTGGCAAAGGAAAGTTTGTCTGAAAAGAGACCCAAAATGTCGGCAGAAAATATATAATGCTTTGTGCTTCAAGCATGAGGAAATTACTTATTTGTAGATTTTCATTTTAGATATTTAGTAAGCCTATATGTTTCTTGTGAGTTGTAACTTCATTGTGTAGTCTATAATTATTGAACATATAAAAATTAACAAAATCTATTACTATTGTCTCCTATGTACACTCTTTTTCCAGTATTGCTTGTTTGTTTGTTTGAGTCAATATTTGCTTGGTACATAAACTGTTTGCTTGCAAGCCACACTGTCGTATATAGCAGAATCACTGTTCCATGCTCCTATTTTAACTTAAGCTTCATGCTTTCCAAATTGTATTCTCTTCATTGGATTCTCTGATGATCACATATAAATCAATACAATCATCATAATGAAAATACAATGGTAAATAATATGATAACTTCAAGAAATGAATATTTCATATTTTATTTTGTTAAAACATGCAAGAATAAAGACAACCTCCAAATCTTTATGGCCCTCTATATTGTTTAATTTTTCAAATTGGTATTATATTCACAAATGATTTTGGCTTCAATTCACTAGTCATTAATGATGCTCAAATCCGTAGCAGAACATTGTTAAGTGTCACAGATAGAAAAGCTTACAACCAAGTCGCAATACTAGATTACTAGCTAGGATTCTAGAGAGTATTTCCAGCCGACATGATACTATGGAGAGATTTGACTCTTAACCTTAGTGATGCAGGAGATCATGCCCATGTAGAATCATTAAGGTGATACGCAAATAGGGTGATCCTACTCACCTATAGCTCTCACCCTCATCATCCCCTTTATTACTTCATGCCAAATGCCTTCACAAATAACATCATCTAAAGACAACAGCAAAGTTAGAGATTTTACCCTCCAATAAGTGAACAACTTCTTTGAGAAAAGAGAACTCCTAAAAGAATTCCTAATAAACTACAAAATGTCTATCCATTAATGAATTCAGTCCATTGTCAGATTAAAAAGTTGATAAACTGCCTAGCATTACCTAATGGTTTAATTGAACTCACATGGCAGAAACCAATTCAGCCAATTCCCCAACATGTACAACAACACAAGATCCATTATTGAGTGCAAATTATTACTAAGTTATGAAATAGACATTGTAATTTGATGCGGTACCTTGTGAAAGAAATGAGTAAGCTAAATTTAAGGAACCAATAGGCAAGAATAGAGTAAACAGCATGAGATACATCAATATATAACCAAGCTTATTTGAAACTACAGGAATTAAATAGGTGAGACTGTCAATAAAGATGTCTAATCCCCTATCATATGAATCTCTAATTTCTCAAAGACTCGTATGAAGTGACTTCTAGGGGTAGTAACA